TGTGGCGTCTTCACTTGGTAGCCCTTAAATGATCATTGCTTTTAGCTTTGCTTTCTTAGATCGAGCTTTCCATTCCATTCATTAGTTAATATTTATGACGGGACTTTAGTTCGCTAACGGTATTTCTGAATATATACAATGTGTTTTGTATATGTGCGGGCAACAAAAAGACAGACAATGCTGTAAAGCAATGCATAAGAAGATTGTGGATGTGCGATTAAAAAAACTACTTCATTCAAATAAATATTTTCCTGTTCACACATACACACCTCTTTACATATCTGCACATATTGGCTTTCTATCTTTCAGATATGAGCATATCTCAAGTTTTCTTCAAATCTAAGCAACAGCATTTTCCATTTTATTTATTTTCTTTTTAATTTTCCGTATCTAAAGTTGCCTATGGCTGGCTAAGACTTGAAGGGCTCAGTCATGGGACGATAGCGCAAATTCAATAGTCATTCAGCAGTCTCCAGGCATACCTACATACACATGTACATACATATAAACCATAAGCATAACTGTGAATTTGACTTTAGCCTGCTGCAACGAAGCAGGAATGAGAAATAATATTTATGCATTTTAGCTACAGTCAACTCCGCCCTTCTTCTACCTTTGCGCCTTCAACTGTTGACTTGGTTGCAGCTATTCACTCGTGGCAGTAGCATGACAATATTTTACACAAACTTTGTCAATGAACGAGAGAGAAGTGAACACTTCCATGAATGGACGTACTATTGACGAAAACCAAATATTTCACAAAAAAACTGTAAGAACGAAAGGCTGTCTGTCATGCCTTAATATTCAATTTTCGCGAACTGTGTTAATGACAGTTGGCTTAGCTGTAAAATCTGCACTTCCGCTGTTGGCGATTAGCGACAGTTTGGAGAATTAAGACAATGTCCGCTCAACGGTTAATTGTAGAGTTGAGAACTAGGAATTCGATTTAACTGTTGTTATAGTGCAATAAATTATTTTAAGCTTATTTTTTGAGGTTTTTATTATACCGAGCAAAATTCAATCACATTACAAGGACAGCTAGATTTGTCAAAAAATGTTTGGTTAAACATTTGCCTCTTTTTATCTTTTGCAAAATTTAGTTTAATAAAAGTCCTCAAAATAATCGTTCGTTCTGGTGAAGATCTCTTCTTGCTAGATATCACTAACTTGATTGGTCACGATATTAAACGGTATAGTTCGTGCCAATTTTGACCAGATATTCAAGATTAGTTACATTAATCTACATATGTATATATAAAACTGTATCTTTCTCGATTCATTTATGCTTTTACAAACAATCGCGGACAAATCGCCCATTCAAAAATAAACTAGAGCTGCCATAAAATATTACGAATATGAATATTCAAAAATCAATAGCATTTGAAAGGCTTTGAGGACAAAGCTACAACTTATGTGAGTTATCAATGACGAAATTCATTTTGTTCAAAGTGCTGTCATATTAGATTAAATATGTGTGTATATGCATTTACATACATATGTATACATAAGTATCTATTGGTGTGTATGAAAAGTTATGTAAAATATGTCCCATTAAACTAATACTAATTACTAAAAAACAAATGCATATACATATGTGCATGTGTGTATATTTATCTATGTACCTATATACAAATATTTATATATATACACCAATATACATACACAATATGTAAGAGCAATGCTATGCCTATGAATACTAGTACCCTACTTATAAGTATTTCGTAATAAAAACACCTAACAGGAGCTGAAAAAGTGTGTGTATTAACATAAATATGTACATCTGTATATCTTTAAGCTAGTAGTCTGTGTGTGAGATTTTTTCGTTTTTACTTTTTAGATTGCCAAGTGAAAACCTGTTTTTCAATACCAAAGTCAATACGACAAAGTAACGCAACTTGGTTAATATACAAATCGACGACAACGAATCCATGTAAACATACATACATACTTGTCCACAAATTGTATGTAAACTTAGAGCTACATGAATAGTAAACAGAAATCAAGTTTGTGATTTTGTGTTGTGGCTAAGGAGCCACAAGTTGTTTGAATTCTCCCAAAGCTTGGGCCACACTTTGGCATTAGAATCCCACGCAACAGTACAAAAAAATCATAAATATAAATTACAAATACAGATATGTGGCTACAAGGCGCTTTTGAAGTAAAATAAAAACAAAATGAAAAGACGACAACAGCAACTTCAATGGCAGCATAGCACAGCTAGAGCAGCAGCTGAACGGCACAAACGAAGGCTACGCTGCCGAACTGACGAACCAGCTAGCTCAACTTGGAAGCATCTTGATCGAAAATCTCCTACGCAAAAGGTTACACAATACTAGTGAGCAATACCTTTGCCTTGAGAAGACAAGAAGCAGTCGGCAAATTGGAAACGGCTTTAAGAGCTTTGCCTTCTCTTATGACTGAGCGAGCTGTGTGGACGGCTTTGGACTAAACTTTTCGCTGATGATTTGGACGAAACCATTAAATATGGTGTAAAATTAATAGCCGGATACTAAAGCTACACCATACAATAACCTATTTCACTACTTATCTTTATATTTCTAGCTTTGAAAACTATTCCAAGAAATATTAACAATATCATAGGGCTCATATCTATAGTTATACCCTGAAGAGGGTATATTAAGTTTGCTTAGAAGTTTGTAACATCCAGAAGGAAGCTTCGGAAACCCTATAAAACATATGTATATATAAATGATCAGCATGACGTGCAGAGTCGATTTTGCCATGTCCGTCTGTTAGTTGGGCCGTTTGTCCGTCTGTCTGTATATACGCGAAGTTTTTCTGAACTTTCGATCTGAAAGTTTGCATACGTCCTTTCCTCTCAAAAAAGCTGATCTTTTGTCGGAACCGCCGATATCGGACTACTATAGACTATAGTCGTCATACAAACTGAACGATAGAAATTATGTCCTTGTATGGAAAACTTTTTTATTTAAAAAGATAACTTCACCAAATTTGGCATGGATTGGTAGCGGTACAATCTCCGAAGAAATTGTTCAGATCGGACCACCATAGCATATACTTTCTATACAAACTGACCAATCAAAATTAAGTTCTTGTTTTTGAATTTTTTGTGTTTGTGATGGGTAATATATTTAGCTTCGGTGCATTCGAAGTTAACTTTGTTTTGTTTTTCTTATACGTTCTGTTAATTTAACCAACGCTCAACTCTTCTACATACATAGATATATACCATGTTTTACGATTTGAAGCCAACAAATGGAGCTTTCAAAAGTTCTATAAAAGACTGATTCTTTTTGACATGGTTAATTATTTTTGCTCTAAGAAGAACAGATATATGTAAGAACCAAAAAGACGCAACAGCTTGAATTTTTCAGAGAACTGTGGAAAATAAAGGATGAAGCCTTAGGCGTGTAAGTAACCACATCAAAAGTAAAACGATATAATTAGAAGTACCATTTTTTATTATATATTTTTTAACTTTGACTTAAGAAAACCAGAGTGTAACACAATCGTACATAAGTTAATACCCATTGCTCAACTTAACCTTATTGTTAATTCGTTTTCATAAGGCTCTTGTTGGCATTCCGAGGTGTACGCAGATTTGCATGCCAAAATGTGCACAGGCGTTTAGTAAAAAGACTAATGACGAAAATATGTGACGGTGCAAGTTGGAAATTTGTCAAACCACATAAACGGCAACAACAAAATGAGAGTCACTATCAAAACTAAGCCACAATTGTTTCGATACGAATGCATAGCAATTTACAGCTTAGTATAACAGCGAGTTGAACCAATATAAATATAAAAGAAAACTATTTTGCAAAAAGAAGTAAATCCAACAAACCCAAAGTGCCTGGCAAGGTGACTCGTGTACTTGTTTGAGCCAAACCTTATTGTCGTGGGAACACCGTGCGAGATTTCTACACGTACATTTAAATAGTAGCATTTATGTGAATATCTGCCAACATTATGGAATCTTTTAGACACAGTTTGCGTGACGCTGCACGTCTTCGTAATCTCCCCGCCCAACTATCCCACCTATAAGTTCACTTGCTACCCCGATTCTCAAACTTGACTATCGTCATGGTTCGCACTTGGCTTGTTGAGTTCCAAAACAGCTCTACACTTGCTCAATGGCAATTGCAATTTCAACCTACTCGTGTATCCCTTTTTCACATAAAAGGGTGCGAAATGTTTTTATTTTTGTTTATACCTGATTCGCTACTAAGCTATTTTTTATCGTTTCACAACCTCACCTTGTTTTCATCGTTCACTGAGCTGAACATTTTCTAGGCTGTTCGCAAGCTTGTGTATGAGTAAATTCGAGTCTCACATCGCCCATGCGCTTTATTCGCACCACACCCATCCGCCACGGCGTACAAGCGATCCTCATAGTACAAAATGCATACATACAAATTTACATATACACATATCCATATATAGATCTACGGTTACATACCCTCACGCTTAGAGCGCTCGTAGCTTGATTATGCGCCCCACTTTTTTGATTACCTTTTGGCACCCCAGTCTTCCTGCGATCGTTTTCAGTTATGGCATGCACATACTACTTATATGCACACATATCTACATACTTTGAAAAAATTAATGTGCTTGCGTGTCTGTATACTAAATTGCCTGGTATGTTGCGCGCCTTCTTCTTATCCTCCACCTCAGCGCACCCTTATTGTTTTACTGTTGGCCGTAGGAATCACAGCTATTGCCTGCAAAGCTTACGATCGGCGCATTTCAGTTGTGTTGTAGCGTTGGAAAATCAGTGGGTAAAGTAGTGATCGCCTTGGCTGCCCGCTCTCAGCTAGCAACTAATATATTGCTACTCTTTCGAGTTGATGTCTGTATGTTTCTGTTATTGTATTCGTTATGCACTTGTTACGCTACAGTGATTGCAGAGTCAGTAAAGCCCCTGCCAGCTGTTTGTTGGAATATATACACGATTTGTATACTAATATGTATATAGTTGTGTATGCACGTTAGTGATGGCATTTTCTATAATATCTGAATTTCAAAATCGTCTAGTCGAATATTTTGACAAGCAGATCACGCCGCTGCGACTATTAGACAGTGTTGCCGAATTTTAGTATGGGTCAAAATCTTTGTAACTGTTTTATTTTTCCATTTTTTTATATAATTTCCAATTGCTTACATATTTCCAATAAAGACTTATCTTCTTACGATTTGTTTTTACAAAGTTTGGTTAATAATCACGAAAATCAAAGGAAGAGTAAGACCATCACAAATCAATGAGAGCCTAAATAAATCCAATAGGATAAATTTTTATAATGATACTGATGAAATAGCAGTTTACTGAAGGCCATCATTTTAGGCGAACAAGAATATTATAACGGCGAGACTAGTTTCGGGGCACGGATATGCTTATCTAAACTTGCACTGACGATAACTGAACTACGTAGCACTGCCAAACAAAGCCAGCTGTTACTCATATATTTAGCACATACAAACTATCAAGGCATTGATAAAAAATAGTTTCGGTTATTATCGAAAATCTATCGAACAGTTCCAAAGCACAATCTAACAGAAATAAGTGCCTCTATGATAAACAGTTTAAAAATTCCGTACAGAATTATGTTATTTTTCGACAACTCAACCAATTTGTTTGCGATTCCTCTTATCACGAGCACGGAATCTTTTGCTGCATGGTTTCTGAAATAAAAATAATTTTCCACTCGACATTAGTTAACATTTTTGGCTCCTGGTCTATCGTTGCCCGTACTCACATTGTTTTCTAGCATTTATTTCCATCTGTTTATCCCACTCAATATTCCCAACCAGTGTGGGGACGTGCTTTCTTCACACATCTCCAACACTTGTTTTGATTAATTACTCAGCATTAGTTTTCGGCTTATTGAGCCTTTCACGCTAGCACTCGCCTAATGATCCTGAAAGTGTGTGTTGATTAATAATGAGTTCTGGTTTGTTAGGCTACGCCCTTTTAATTTATTGGTATATTTAAAAAAATTTTATCTAATACTTAAAGATAAGAACACTGATCAGCAGAAATTCAAGTAAAGACACCGGTAGTTAATGGGGCGTTTATTTAGATTGAAACGGCATGTAGCCTTGAAATATGATATACATATGTAGGTACACACACTATGTATTTGAAGTAGCACTTTGTGGCTGACTTAATGTGTAGCGTTCTATAAGCAAATTTTAAAATGAGATTATCTTCAACTTCAACCGATAACCCAACTTTAACTTTGACTTTATTAAGTATATTCAATCGTTTCGAAGAAGTTTCCACTCATATAAGAAAATTCAAATCCTATCCTGTATTTACTTGATCATTTACCCTTCTGCGTGTCCCGCAGAGATAAAATTCCGCGATTCCTCTTCTTGCATTGCAACCACGTTCTGCTTGATAATTTCTTGGACTTATTCGAAAGGAAAAAAAGTCCCAGCAACAACATTAAGCGAACAGTATTACGATTTCCGCCCTTACGCAATACGCCACAACGCTGCACAGATGAACAAAAATGCAAGAAAAAACAACTAAATTACCTCAATTCAAAAGAATTGCACTCAGGAGAAACCAACTCTTCGACGCTGTTGCTGCAATTTTAACCTGATGAACACACACATACACACATATGTACTTATATACATAAATGCGCACATTTATGCAACCAAAGCAGAACTCGCCATTTCGGCACTTTGGAGTTTGAAGTCAATTTTTCCAGCGGCGAAAACGCTGAGATAGCTGAAGTCAAACGAGGACAATGACGATGACAGCTTTGCCTACATTTGCCACAAACTAATGCCAACAACAATGTTAGCGAGGAATAGCGATCGCAGCAATACGATTGCATTATTGCCATATTTCGCAACGCACCCCAATCGAGCAAACCCCCTGCTCTTGCCACTAACGCTGCCGGCGCTTAGCCTTGTTCGTATTGAGGGGAGTCGAACTGCACTGAGCTGAGCGCTAAACGCTGAGGCAGCAAATTTGCTTGCATATCATTGGAGTAGCGAGTGCACGAGTATTTGCCCAAGTAATGGTAAAGTTTTGCTCAAGCGAAATGGAAGTAAAGATCTGTGTTGACGCTTCGGGCTTTCGTGAGAGCCGAATACATGCCTGCCGATGCACTTTGCTACTTTTAACTTCGTCAACTGTCGGCGTGCGATCGGTGTAAAACCAGCGGTAAATGTATGTATATCAATGGAGCCCAACCGAAGTGGTTACGAAATCTTTTAAGAATTCTTACAATATACAATACCTATATGTATATATATATATATATATATTATATATGTATGTGTGGTATGTAAGCGTAGTTGATTTGGTTTCTTCAATTACTTATTACTTTTAAAGCGATAAAAGAAAAGAGTTTGAATTAAGTATAACAACAACAATGTTTATATTTGTGGTCAAAGTGTCAATTTGAGCATCGTTTCTATATTAGCTCTGATAGAAGCGTAGTTTGCGAGTAAGAGCACATGTGAGAATGGGTATGAACACATGCTGGTATACATATTGCATTTCACAATCGTACAACTTCTCCTTAATCTAAATGAAAATTTGTAATACGTAATAATATGTATACAATTTTATGCTTTCTTCATTAAAACTTTACCGAAGATATTTCGAAAGTTGTTATATATACATATATGTACATACGTATATGTAAGGTTTGATCATATATCCTTTGTACAAATAGTACTTTTTGAATCGTACAACAACTCATTAACGTCAAAATTCATCATCTTTTTTAACGCTTTTGAGCACCTAATGGACCAATCTACAACCCATCATTGAACTTCTTGAAAGAAATCTAAAACGAGTATACCATTTGACTTTGCGAGAATATAAAATGTTCGGTTTCATCCGAACTTAGCCCTACTTTACTTGTTCATTATATTGTAACCAATATTATTATGCTTTGAATTTCAGCATAAATCATATATGAATGGGAATACTTCAGTTTTTAATTATTTTAATTCATTTTTTGTCCCCGAACTATGCTCCGAAAAATGCCCGCTATCGTATTTTTACATATGTAAGTATTTAAGCATATTGTTTCTTGCCGGATAGAGCGACCCAGTACCAACCTATTATTGTCATATTAAACTTTTTTAAACTCGATATTCTCCAGAAATTCTTAATTTATGTACCTTAGTCCCACTTTTCTGTGCTTTAGAACACTGTCTCTCTCTCTCCCTCTCTCTCACTCTCTTTTTATACATTCTCTAAGTTACATACAGAAGCAACGAGAAACGCAAGTGGGGCTAATGTGTGCGAATTGTCTGTGCAAAATGTAAAAGCTCCCACTAAACAACGTTCCCACTTGCGCTCATATGCGATTCGTGCGCGTCAGCAGTATCGTCGACGTTGTCGTATTAATTGTCGCCGACGTATTCTGGCGGCATACTCGCGCTGCATTGCATTACATTTCACTGCGATCCATTTATCCATCCATATTCGTGTCGCAACCCCAAGCAAGCAATCACTACCATCCGTGTGTGTTTGCCGCGAGCCCATTCTTATCCGTCCAACGCCCATGGCGAAACATCCAGCAGTACAATAACAAATAATTTTATTAATTATTAACTCTAAGGGACTGAAATATATTGTTAAATATTTTAGTGGCAATTATTTATATAAAGTGAAGCATTAATATAAAAGTAAATAAGTAATCTGTTTAATGGCAGAATACAGTGCAAGAATTGTTTATGAAAAAGTGAAAAAACTTAAAAACGGGTGTCTATATTATAAGTAAAAAATTTTTATTTTTCTTCAACACGTGTTATGCAATCTGCTGTGCAAACGTATCCGTGAGTGTGTCCCTTAACTACGGTTCTTTACTCAAAACAAAAGTTGCACCACAGTTATAGAATAGTGCCGTCGTATTGTTATATTTTCTGCTCTCATACATTTCCCATTTACCTGCGAACTTCACAAATATAGATTTCAACAATAGATCTGGTAGTTGTAATCGCTGTGGGCAGCGTCTCTGACCGACCGGGGACTCCATCAGCCAATTAACAGCGTTAGTAACAGTGTAGCTAACCATATGCCAGTCACCCCGATTCAAACAAACAAACACTATACACACACATAATATATACATCGACACAATCATAAACGAAAGCCAATAAAGAAAAACGCAAGCCAAAAGGTATCCAACCAAGACTCGCTAGGTGCTCACTACCGGCACGATTTGAAATCGTCGTTGCAGCAGCTACCGACCACTGCGGTGGCAGGGACACACATTCGCCAGCCAAGTGCGCCGTGATTGGTACGGATTCACTCGTATCCTCAGCTAGATGTCAGTACTGTTTCGAGGTTGTGCTGCGGTGGTTTCTATTCTCTTGACTGTTTCGAAAGCTGCAAGCTTTTATTCCTCGGTTTTATTTGTTTTATTTTATACTTAAGTTTCTTTACGCTTAAGGATGCTTTTACCAACGTTTACTTGCGTATTTATTGTTCGTTCTGTTTTGTTAAATTAAACGCGAACGTCCACATATGCCACAGACAAATCAAACAGCAAATAATTTCATAAACAAGTGTTGCCTTGGAAAAAAACAAACTGTAAATAAGTGCAAGAACGTGAAGGAAACTAGAAAATGATTTAAAAGTACATAATAAAATGTATTGAAGTTAAATAAGCGCCGGACGTGCAATTAAATAAGTTATGAAAAAAACAATAGACTAATAAGCATTTAGCCCGCAAAGAAAAAATAATCCGTAACGCATTGAAAAGAAAAACAAATATACATACATATGTAATTGTGGGTAAACACAATTGAAATAACACTATTTATTTTACTTTTTTTTTTTGTTATTGAGAAAAATTTAAACAATTAAAAATTTACTTAATAATTTCAAAATATAACATTTAAAAAACTTCCATAAAGATATGTTTACCACTTACGATTATTTAAAAAAGAATTAGAAACTAAAATGAAATAGTACTAAGAAAAATTTTAATTAACAACAACAATAAAGGAATTGTGAAAAAAGTAAGATCTATTATCAATCACAGGCATAAAAGTAACTGTATGTGCTCAGAACACAGTCATATTATGTCTTAAAATTTTCGTAGTATTCACAAAGCTTATTCATCTCCGGCAGGACTGCTGCAATTGTAATAAGGTAAGTCAAATTGAAAACCCAGTGTTATAAGACAAAATTAATTTATAAATTATAACTTCAAAAAATGTTAACTAATCACTTGCAGACTTCCAGAAAAAAATAATAATTTGAGTGGAGGAAAGAAGTTTTTTCACAAACTTACTTGTATTTAGGCTAATACTCAAAAAAATAAGTGAGTGAAAGCCTCGTTAAGTCTTGTTAGTTAAATTGCGGTACTTGATTTTATGACAAAAATTAACATCAAAGCATAATAATATTGGTTGCAATATAATAAACAAGTAAAGAAGGGCTAAGTTCGGATGAAACCGAACATTTTATATTCTCGCAAAGTCAAATGGTATACTCGTTTTAGATTTCTTTGTGGATCTTGCCGCCTTGTTCTATGTTGACCGATATTTTCGGTAAAAAGTCAACTATAGGCACTGGGGTCCCTATATTCAATACCTAGGGGCTTCAACAGTTTTGGTTCGATTTAGACAATTATTGGTCACAAGGTGGCATACTTTTGCTTGATTTGCATAGTGGAAAGTGAAAAAATCAGATGGAATTTAAAATGGTGTTATATGGGGAAATAGGCGTGGTTGTAATCCGATTTCGCCCATTTTACACTACTAATTTACATTACAATAACATAGAAATATGATAAGAATGTTATGTACCGAATTTTGTTAAAATCGGTTAAGCAGATCCCAAGATATGGGTTTTCACCTAAAAGTGGGCGGTGTCATCTCATACCGTCCCAGAGCTAAAATTTAATGTATCTGTCGTGTTTAGTGCTTAATTTACCGTGCTTTTAATAGTAGCGGGTCGATAGAATTGCCAAAAATCTTTGTTGCCAGTGAATTTTGTTATTATATTGTAGCTTTAGTGGTTTAAGAGATATGCACATTAAACCAAAGAGAGGCGGAACCATGCCCACTTTAAAGAAAAATTTTAAGAGCAGATGCCCTCCCTAATGCGATCACAGTCTTGTATCTTATTGTGGAGCTTAGGTATAACAATTTATTTGTTTTTGATTAATGGCGTTTTGTGGGCGTGGCAGTGATCCGATTACGCCCATCGGCAATACCAACCATCTTACGTTACCAAGAAATATGTGTACCAAGTTTCATAAAAATATCTCAATTTTTACTCAAGTTACAGCTTACACAGACGGACGGACAGACAGTCACCCGGATATCAACTCCTCTCTTCATCCTGATTATTTATATATATAAAACCCTATATCTACTCGATTAGTTTTAGGTGATACAAACAACCATTAGGTGAACAAAACTATTATACTCTGTAGCAGCAAGTAGTATAAATATATATGTATGTATGCATATACTGAGTTTACAAGAGAAGTGGTTCTAGGCCAAATACTATACCGAATTTTTGACAGTTGAAACGTTATCATATTTTGTACGAGTATTTAAGCATTATTATGCTACTTTCTCAATTCGCCCTTCTAATTTAAGCCATTATCAACTTTCGTCGAAGATTATTGATATCAAGTACGATCTTATAGCCATCAGCATATATACTTGTATTTTCATGTAGAAGCCAGACCGAAGCCAGCTAGTAAAAACAAAAATTTTTTGACTTAAAAAACATTAGAACTAAAAAAAATTTGCTTAACGTAAATCATAGGAAAATGTGCTCTATGATATTGCCTCATCAAAGGCAATAATAAACAACAATAAATGTCATTATTAGTAGGGTTGCTGCTGTCAACAGAGCATCATCATTGTGGCAATCATCAATCGGTGATGCTGACAACATGTGTACGAGGTTATATCGGCAAAGATTGCCGCAGTGGCATCGATCAACAGCATATGAAATAAGTAATAAAAGCATGTGTTTTTTCTTGCCTATTTCTAAATTTCACAATTCTGTTTTGGTGGTTTGATGGGTTCGCTTTAGTGGTTGTTTATAAAAGCTTAACCCCAAGAACAGAGGGTGGAGACAATTGAAAATGATCGTTGAAGCATAACTGAAATAATAATAACAACAATAATATAACACAAATGCAACGCAAAACAGACACAACTACAACACTCTCCTACATATATTATACATGAACATAGATAATAAAACCGATATATACATACATATAAAATATTGAAAAAACCATTTGTATGCACATACTTTATGTACAAATATATTTCAGCATGACGAATAGAATCTCGCCCACAAACAGCCTGCACGACGTTGCGTCGCCTTGCCGACGTTTCTTCGTACAAGCTGCTGGATGTTGTCTAAGCTCGGCTGTGTTGAATAGTGGTTGCCATCCAAAGCTCCCAATCGTAATGTTACTACTTCTTTATAAATATGTATGTACATATGCATGCTAGGTGTCTGTGTATCGGATTGCATCGTTATGCGGAAAAATGAAGCCACATCTGGTTTGTCTACGCCTTGAAAAACAGATAAATTCAATGCAGACGTTTGAGATAGATTATGAGCTTTGTTTATTGGAAGCTCAATGGAGTCTGGCTCATTCATAGTAAATGCGCTTCTTTTTGCCTGGTACATTTTAAGCTAGAGGTTACTGATTGCACACATATGTATGTACGTATTTATGTATTTTGTAGAATGAGGGAGTACACATTTCCTTGAAGAGCTCAATGTAGACTTTCGATGCATAATACGCGATATCCCGATTTAAATAAACTTATTCGCTGTATATAAAAGCATAGACAATAAACAGAAAATGCATAGGCATACAATTTAAAAATGTTTACATAAACTGCGGGTAGTAAAGACGACTTTCAACATTTCTTTTTTAACATATATACTACATATGAATTTAAAATACAAAAGTATATATGATATGTGTCTAAAAAAAACCGAAATTTATATTTAAATCGTACAACATTAAAAAAAAATACATTAATCCTCTTTCAAACGCTCTTTCTTTAAATCGGATAACAGATGTTAAAGTTACAGCCTTTTCAATAAAAGTCAAAGTGTGCAATTTTTCCATTTTTAAAAAGAGCATATATAAAATGTTGAGGTAAACTTGGAAAAATTCACCGAAACATACGAATTGATGAATAAAGTTTATTGAGATTGTATGAGTCGTACACAAGTTTATAAGTGGTTTGAACGATTTAAACATGGCCGTGAGAATTTAAAGGACGACAAAAGGTCAGATCACCAGACCTAATCATGCTGAATTGGTGGAAAATGTTCATAAAAATCAGTATAAATGCAAATTTTACTACGAAAATGTAGTCCGAGGGATTTAATACGAATAAAAACGCTACTAGAAAATTTTTAATTGAAGATTTGCTTAAAAGACAGGTCTGTGTGCCTTTTGTTGTTGAATTAAATTATGATCAAAAAAGTAAACGAGTTTTTGATAAAAAAAAAACAAAAAAGATTTCTCTCAGCAACCACCCTCTGTATTCGCCTGATCTACCACCATGTGATAATTTTCTATTTCCAAAACTGAAAACCAACATGAAAGGATTATTTTATGAGGATATCCCAGCCATTCTACCGGCCGTAATCGGGATGCTGAAAAACATTCCCATAAACGACATAAAGAATCTTTGCATGCACTGCTTCAGCGTTCTAAACGTTGTATTGAGTCTAGAGGAAATTATTTTGAAAAAAATGCATTTAAAGATAATATATGTAATGTGCATTTTATTCCATATCCAAAAACTTCGGTTATTTTTAAAGCACACCTTGTATCAAAGGCAATGTTAAAGTAATAATTAATGTTAATTAATAATGTTTTAGAAAATTTATTCAGATATTCTCTTCTGGCTCTTTGTATATACATAACTTTATAGTATATTGTTTTACAAACTTCTATAATACCTCGAAGCTCTGAAATACTACATTGCAGACTTTTCGATTACTGTAAATCTTCTGCCTGATTTCTATCATACCATACAATATTATCAATCATTAAAACTTTTTATATTTTACTTCGTGACTAAATATAATATGTAAGAAAATATACAAAGCTCGACGTTTTTTCAACAAAAAAGTCTTTTCGGTCAATTTCCGCTTTGCGCTGCATTTTTTCAGTTGCCAAAAACGAAGCCGAAATAACACTGGCACACGTAGAAAAAATGGCTTTGCCACCTGTTGTGAAAAAAGGTCCATAAAAGCACTGACATATTAAAACCATAATTATGCAAATCAGGTAAAAAATGTAAAACATAATTCGCCGACTAAGTATTTATTAGTTTTTACTTTAGTTGCATTTTCTTAAAGTTAGTTTTTTTTGGTTTGGCGCGGAACAATGGCTTAACCCACTTCTCATAGTGCTGCGTAGAATTCACACCAAACAAAAAAGTTTAAAAAATAGAAAAAAAAACCAACGCGTCTCTAACAACTAACTACCGACAACTATTAATAATAACAAACTGGTTTAGTGGCCAACTCGCTTCATTTATGATGGCAAAATCTCAAATATTAAAAAAAGGTTTTTGATGAAAACTGGCATTTTTCTTACAGCTGTTTTGGTTTTGTTATTATAACTAGCTTATTACCAAAGTTAATTAATTAATTTTACACTTGCATGCAGAATAAAAAAAGTCGTAAAAATAGCATCAACTTTTAGTCTTTCAAAACAATTTTTTTAGACTTTTTATAGTCTTATTTCAGTTCTTTATCACATCAGTTTTATTGTTTACTCAAAACTTGCAATTAGGTGGCAACTTCGCTCGAAAAATATCAATTATAAATTTATATATAGTATACATTTTGTAACATAAGACAACGATCTAAGCCTTAGAATCCACTGATAAGAAAAAGATAGAAATTCATTGTTAAGTACTCTATAAGTAAAGAATAAAATAATTTGTCAGATAATAGCAACGGAAAGCTTCTTACTATCTTCACCCACTCATTGCGTCATCGAATTGAAGAATCGCACGACAAATTCAAGCAATTAATTACTTTTATTTTGAAGTTGGCATGCTATCAAACTTAATACTTATAACGGTAATACTGCTCACGCGTTTGTGAGTTCTGCTCTCAAGTAAATATGGTTAAAA